AGCTCGGAGCATTCAACTGCTCCGTCTTCTTTTTCGACCACGGACACCCCACCTACCTCCAAGATGTGAGACTTCGTGCGCGAAATGCGCCGCCACCCGGATCGCCTTAGCACTCAATCTCACGTCAGGATGCACATACCCACGATGGAACAGCTCGCCTCGATCCTGACGCTATACGGCCTCCACCACGTGCAGATGGACACTGGTCACCACACCCGCAACATTGGTGACGTCCGTGCGATCAAATGCACACGCTCTGCCTATTCTTAAAATCCAGCCACCCACCACAGCCCTGGTGCGCAAAAATCACATGTTCGAGAGATCGTGATTCTGGGAAAAATATATCGTGTCTACAGCCGTGGTTGGTACAACCAGCGTCAGGGTCCCAACGCTTGGACCTAGACGTCGTCCCATGGCGCCCCTTGCACTCCGAAAACAAGTTAGAAGCGCTACTAACATGTAGTTGTATCACCAAACAGAATATTCGACGTGGAATTCAACTCCACGCTCGTCGCCCTCGTTTCTGCGGATGCATGACCCGCTGAGCATGCTCCCCCCAACACGTATGTGGACAGAACCAAATCTTTTTGTCACACGCTCACGCGCGCATCTATGTCGCTGGATGATAAGCTAGCCGAGTTCGCCCAACTCGATACTCTATCGTCGTGACATGAGACATGAGACATCCTTCGAGACCGCGTGTTCTCGGGGCCCTGGGGCCTTGGGTTTGATCTTTAAGGAACAACTACGGTTCGGAGATGCTGACCACATTCAAGTCGCCCCGAAGGCTCACCATGTCGCTCTCGGTACCCAGCGACGGATGTTTGCTAAACAAGAGCCCGCCTCACTTGTTGCACTAACTCACCTCCGTCTCCTAAGCCGTTGGATGTGCGTAACGTGGCACTTCTCAGTACCATTTGCCACCCTATTACGTAGATTCTTCAACCACAAGTTTGCTGTGCACACCCTGTCCACAGATTTCAAGTCCATACTGGCGTCGTCCCACCGAACGGCATTGAGTCTGCCGCATAGTATCAAGACCGCGTGCGTACAACATCGTGACCCGCTCTGGTGGCACCACGTCATTGCACACTTCTTTGAAGGACGATCGCCCGAATCTTTACGATTTGAAACAAGCCAATTGCGCATACTAGATGGAATATCCTGCCACGTTTAGACGCATCTGCACCCAAGTCTGCGATATGACAGAAGAAAAAGTGTCCTGGTTTCGCCGTGGAGACACACGAACACGAGACGAAGTACAATACCGCCGTTGCCCCCATGTAACCACCGCCATCAAGCCGCCCTTGATCATGAGCGTGCTTAAAACATTAGCCTCAACAGTCGTCCGAAGGACCATCGCCATCAAGACAGACGCAACAATCGCCCAAGATTCCTACCAAGAACAACGCCATTACCAGTGTCAAGATCAGCGCCGCTTGGATTTCATCCCCAACATCGACAGCAAGACGTCGACATGGAAGTCGACAACGTTCAAGTTTCCATCCTCCGCAAAGACCGCAAAAGTAATGTAACAATTGCGGACGACGAGGTCACCGCGCAGCTCAATGATGTTATCCATTGCCAGCTTCACGTCGCATGTATGGAGAGTTTTTAACCGTTCCCACTCCTTTCAAACTTGCCGTCTCGGGAACTGTCGAAACTGGTAGTATCGCCCTTTTTGGGGAGGAGTGTGATAACGAAAACAGGTCACTGTTACCCCAACCACATGCTATCAACCGAACGCAACAAGTTTCGAACGCAACTGTTCAAATGGATGAAGCAACAACCACCCGCAACGTCAAAGCATGCAAGAACGATGCATTATTCAAACAATAGTCACGAAAAGACAAGTTCACGTCAAAAACGGACTCTACTTTCTCCTTTCAAAGACCTAATTTGGGAAGCTTTGTATCCCTAATGATGACAACCTTCGAGCAGAGAACCTCTACCAAGCACATGACTCTAGTATCGCAGGTCATCCCGGAACACGACGCACTAAGCGTCGCCCAATGGTTCTATTGGGATACAATGATGAAAGACGTAAAGCTGTACGTGGCAACCTGCGAAAGATGCAGCCGATGCAAGACAAGTAATTTGTGAGCGAATGACATAATGATTCCGATTCAAGTCCCTAAGAATGTTGGCACGCGATTTCAGCGGATTGTATTCCAGTTCTACCTATGTCTAAGTCGTGCGATGCAGTTTTGGTGGCCGTGGACAAGTTATCGAAACGGGCAAAGTACATTCCATCAACCATGACGGCTGACGCTCCCGAAACTGCCAAGTTGTTCTTTGATCACGTTGTGGGGCACCACGGACTGCCAAGTGTCATTATCAGTGGTCGAGACCCCAACTTTACAAGCAACTATCGGAAATCCGTAATTGAAATCATGAACATACGCCAAGCATTGACCACAGTCGGTCGAGCATAAGCCGATGGAGCAACCACAAGACAAAATCGTACCTCAGAAGACGCTCTCCGATGCCAAGTCTCGTATCTTGGAGATGATAAGGTTGAAAATTTATTAGCAGCCGAATATGCCCACCAAGGTCTCGAAAATCTTCAACTGGACTAACACCGTTCCGAGTCGACACAGCAGAACTCTTGAGTAGAGCGGTTGCCCGAGAACTTGCGCCCTAGGAACTCTGTACAGGAGGCCAGAATCCAAAGCCAACCCGAAGGAAGTCACGGAGATACCGGAACCCGTTTCCGACACAATGCAAGGACCAAGCTCTGGTGACTTGTCGGTGGGTATGCAGCGGAATCGATCACCAGTCGCAGACGGATTCCCGGTGGAATTCTTTCTGTTTGCATCGTCCACATTTGCCGAAACACTCGTCCGCGTCTTCAATTGCCAACTCGAGTCTTCTCCATCAGCTTCACACTACGGTCACCCTCCTCTATAAGAAGAGGAATCGCGCGGTGCCGGGAAATTATCGCCTAATCCCTCTCATGCCAGTGGAAGAAAAGATCCTATCACATTCGGTTTTCTCCCTTGCGGGTAGACGACAGCCATGGGAAGCGACCTGATTTCATTGAGAGAGAATGAGAAAACGATTCATGCCTTCGCAGTTAAGTGAAAAATGTAAATTATGTCTTGGGCACGTTTTTGACGAGTGGTGAAATCGGTTTCGACTCGGAAACGGAATTTCTGCAAGTGGTGAGGGGGAGTGGAATGTTTAAATGGAACGGTGTGATCAATTTTAACTGCGTATTTCACACATAAGTACATGAACTATTTGCCTCACGAAATCACTACACCCCATCGAAACCACTTGAGAGGGTTGGTTGCAATGTCTGGTTGACTAGGTGCACAGGCGCTTTAACGGTGGGTGACTTGGGTCCACTTTTGGGACGGGAAAGGTGACACACATTAGCGCTTGCTGTCAGTGATGGGACGGCAAACAGGAGGTGTGGTGGGCAAAAGGGAGTGGGTCCTTGCGACGAGGTCTAGGTCGATGCGTTGGTGATCTTGGCGCTGTTGGACCAACCACGACCGTAGGCGCGGTACACTTTTCCCAGGAACACGTTTTCAACGAACATGCACCGTCGACTGTGTCCCGTATGTTCCCCGTTCATGACGGGCTATGCAAGGTCGGGCGTCACCGGGATGATGGAGGTGGCACTGTTCATGGCCCAGAACGGGGCGACTGATCCGTAGAAGCAGAGGCGCCGTTCGTTCAATACTCTACGAACAAGAATTGCCGCGTGTCTGTACCGCAGGATTCTCTGATTGGTCCGACCTGGAATTTCGGATTTCAAGGGGGAAGATTGTCGCGGTGCGTTTTTGACTGCTCCGATGCGTTTGGCCGGTTCTGCGAAGAGGTGGACGCAGCGTTGGTCGGTATCCTGGGGCGATTGGTCCAGGACTCTGGTGGCTGGGTGATCCTGCCGATACGGGACAACGTCACTGACGTCGGCATTCAGGAGGTGTTGGCGGCACTACGGTTCACGACCCAAGAATCTTGAAGCTTGGACGCCCCGTGAAGTGGATCGTGAAAAGCCCATTTGGCGGGTGCCTGCTTTGGGCAATAGGGTTCAACTTGAAACATTTAGCGAGGGAAGATGGGCGCGTGTTTGTGT